GTTGTGATCCGTTGCCGGTCACGAAAAAAGACAAAAAGGAAAAAAAAAAAAAAAAGAAAGATACAAATTTTCTCTTCCAGACAGCTGAAATGAACTACGTCAGAATCTATTTTTCCTTTTCTATGTTTCATTTGGAACAGCTACCATATTCTTGGTTTTCAATACCCATTGAGGACTAACACTCATAATATGATAAACTCCTTACACTCCTGTTCAAATATTGCAATAATTTCTTTAGAAGTATAAAAGGAATGGTTATTGGATAAATAGGACAAAGATCACCGAGGGACAACTGTAGATGATAGTGTTAGTTTATATCCACAGGTCAAAACCTTTTTGAAGGTAACTTCATCCTCTGAAGTAAATGGACCTTTACTTGTAGGAAAAAACAATCAGAAACCCTAGATGCTAAGTGACAGCAATCACACCTCCCTACAGACAACCTCATGTCCTTTCTTCCTGAAAACACTCCGTAGTGTTATAATTCAGCTCTCACAACCACCCAAAACACCTGAATGCCTTAAATGCAGGTCTCCCTCTGCTAAGTTAATTTATTCATGTCAGAAAATATTTCTGCCTTTCAGCTAAATGGGAAGAAGCCAGCTCTCTCTCCTCCCACTTACACCAAAGAAAATAGCAGAGTTGTCAAGATTTAAAAAGTTGTCTTTTATATCAGAAGGCAAAGGTGACTCAACACAGTATTATAACAGGAAAGCTCCTGCTGACTGTAAACCTGTCATCATTAGCAGCTGCTTTGAGATGCTACTATGATCTAACACAGCTGAAACCCAGTTCAGACAGACATTTTCTCATTATAAGTTGCTGTGTAAGATTCTGCAATGGAACTTACTGTCATATTTGATATAACAGGTAATACATTGCCTTTACAATTCAGCAGAGCTCCATTTCATCGTGTCTGTTTTGATTGTATCGGGCTGGAGTTAATAAAAGCTCTGATCGACTAGGTAATCTAAAAATGAACACAAACACTTGACAATGAACTCTCCCTGTCATTTTGGTATCTGGAGCAAGTTTCTGGCTTATTTAGGAACAGGAGAGATTTTTAATGGAATTTAAGATGTTTGTACTTTGACTATTTCCATATCCACTAGGTGTATTTGGGCTGTAAATAGATTTTGCTGAAAAGATTTACAACAAAAATTTCTCGTATAAACACTTGCTCAAGTTTTCTGCCACCACTACTAATATGACCTCATAAGGAAATGTTCTACTACTGCTGATGATCTCCCCCTTATATAAAGTAGAAAATACAGAATATTTGACAGAAAAAAAATGTGTTTCATTTTTTTCTGAGCTATGGGTGAAGCTCGCTTAAATATTTCTTGGGCAGGAAAGGGATGATGAAATGTAGTCCACCTTTCTCCAGCATTCCACTTTATACAAATCAAGTCTTTCCTTATTTACATATATTCTCTTGAACTTTGTGATTTGCCAGAGTATCATTAGACCATAAATGACTTTTGCCGAATCTAAAATTACAGAGCTGTTCAAAAGACACCCTGGGAATGCCGAGTGGGCCACTGACAACGACTGCTGGGTAACAGCACAAAATCTTAACCTCTCCACTTGGTATGAGCATGAGTGAATCATAGAGGAAGATATTACTGGTCATACAGATTATTTAATATTCCTCAATTTTCACTATGAAGAGGATAGGTACCTTCTTTAAAGAAGAATGTAGATATAGTCTAGCCACTGCAAAGTGGCTCACTCTTTAAAAAAAGCATCCTTTCCCAGATGTTATTTCTAAATGATATTTTAGGACACCATTATGAAAGAAGTCAACCAGTAAGATGTTCTCTATTTAAAAACCATAAATGAATATTAAAAGCCCTCTCAGAAAACCAAGCAATTATTAAGCATAAAGTTACCTTGAGAAATGGATCTTTTTCTATGTACCTTCTAAACAACTAAGTTCAAGCACATCAGTATAGTTCCTGCTCCCAATTTCAGAGGTCAAGAAACTTAAAGCAAAGCAAAAATGTCACCTTTCCAGTTTGCAAATTTTCAAATAAAAGAACAAAGTTACCTGACTACATGTCGACCCAGGGCCCAATGCCATTTTACTTAATTCAAACCAAACAGATATCCTGGTTCCTTTTATCTTTTAAAACTGTCAACTCCCAGAGCAAAGAAAACATTGTGTTTGGCACAAACTCTTTGTATTAAATATTAAGAACTATAAACATACATAGTATTGAAATGGTAATGGATAGCCTTTCTCTATAATTTTTTCTCCTTTCAATCAAATAATCTATTGGCCCTGTAACACAGTAAGTTTTTATTTTGAACGTTTAACATAATAAAACATTAGTCAAGCAAATCTACACTTTAGGAATCCTAAGGCTTAAGGCAATTCTGGATAGCCAAAACGCCAGTAAATCTCTATGGAGTACACTAAACTGCAGAACGACTGTCCTTCAGTTGGTTTCCATTTCTCTGGGCTGTGTCAAAAAGAGGAATGCCAAGTTTCAAAGTAGCAAGCAAAGCATTACAAAAACCCTCATTTTCCAGAATTGATATCACTTACTTTGCTTTGAGTGTCTCCTCCTGAAAATTCCAATGTGGATCTTCCACCAGTTGTAACTCTCTTAATACTCTCCCAGGCTTGTAGGCTGCATTAATTATCATGCTAAGAACCTGTTGGGAAAAAAAATAATTGCGATGAACCTCGACTGCATTTATTCCTGCTAAAGCAAGAATGCTTTTGAAATTACACTGCCGATGTCTAAGATGTGTTCATGATGCACCCACATCGAGTGCAGGACTGTAACTGAGTTTGCTAGAACAATCTGCAGGCTAACACTGAGCTGACTCACCATCTAGGAATAAAAAGTATGGACCGCTCACTAAAGGAGGCAGCAAGCTCCCAGAACTCTTCTTGTTGCAGAAAATCTGAACCATTTCCTCCTTATTATTCTTCAACACAACAAGGAGAAGCTGATTAGAAGAACACAGATTGAAGCTACTAAGAATTTCACTCTATTTAAAAAAATTTCATAAGAAACCAAGAAACCGAGACAATATACTAGTGCCAACACGTCTGGAGAGACATTTGGATACCTGTAAGGCAATAACAAATTATGGGAACTCACCTCACGTATGGACATTTAACTTGAGGACAACTCTGTCAGAGATGTGAGCATTTTAAAAGAGAGTCTGGAACATCTAACACCATCCAGTACTGTATTTCATCAAACTACCTCCTCACGCCCAAGTCCAAAGTCCAAGAGCACAAGCACGTGCTCGTGGCCTGTTGCGGGTCTCCCAGAAAGACCTGGCACTTCCGTTCTGAGAGTCCCAACTGCAGGCTCTGGTGAGATACGATGCTTCTGTTAACCTTAATGTGTGTCTTTAATAAAAAGAACAAGGACCTTAGGCCTTCCAGGTCACTCGCCTCTCCGTAAGCAAATCAGCATTAACTATGAACATTCATGAGTTCTGGCATGTGCTAGGGCTGCTGCTATTCAGATGGAGAGCTTAAAGGGCGTGAAAGTGCAAGCAGAGACCTTGGTGCTGAGCTCCACAAAATGACCATCTGTTGATGCTCCACTGTGCGCCAGGAACACGGACAGGAGGAGCACACAGTGCCTGCCCTCCTGAAGTTTCTCCCAATCCACGCACAGGGCTCGCATCCATGTTTCAGAGCACAATGCCCCTGAGAAAGTAAGACAGCCCCTGAGATGGGAGGCTGGCATCTCTGCAGAAGCCTCTACTATGTCCGGTGGAGATCAGCACGACATGGACACGAAGGAGGTGGACATGTGGTGCTAGAACTTGCATGTCACAGTTTTCATGGGTCCGGTGTATTTTGGAATGAAACTGGCCTGCTTTGTACCCTGCTTTTTACTCCTGAAAACAAAATAGCTTTCTCATATTGTAACTAAAGACTCTATTTCTAAATATTTTACACTATGCTGTCAGCTGGCAACTGTCTTTTCTTTGCCTGGGTAGCATTTGCTGTCCCGAGGGCCCCGCAGCTCGGTGCCCCGAGGACACGGGTGGGCAGAGCGCTGAGAAGCCAGGGCCAGGCCACGCAATGCCTGTGTTTGTGTCTCTGCATCAGAATGATCATCTGATTTTACTGTTTACTGTCAGTACGATTTACAAAACTGAGTTTAAAAATAAATCTAATTAGAACTGGCTGCAATAATGCACAGTGTTTATCAACAGACAATAAAATTTCAATGGATTTTTTTTTTGTGTGTTTAGCTCAGAAAACCCCAGAGCTACATGTTATCTGCTGCATATTGAGGTGCATTTTGTAACTGTGAAAGAAAAGGCCTTCCAGAGTTCAATTCAGCCTGAGAACAGGCCGCAATGACATTGTAAAAAGCATTCAATATTGGATATTTTTCCCATGGCTCTTCCTGAGGCCATATCATTTGTTTCTAAATTCAACAAGCTCTCTATAAAACTCTGGAACTGTGAGCTGAATAATTTCTGTACACACAACATCTTAGCATATTATAGTTACCCCATGTAAATAAGTGGACAGCTGCTATCACTAGCCAGAGTTAGATGAATTACTGTACCTTGCAAAATATTGGAATTCAATTCATTATGTTCTTGATCTGAGGGGGAGTGCAGAGCCTGCCCCCAATTAACTATAGGATCTTAGGGCTGAAGTCAATGAATGTATTAACAGTAAACTGGTGGGAGGGGTTTGGGGTGCCTCTAGGAGGAACTCAGGCTGGAGCAGAGTGACTCATTGGATTTCTTGGAGTTCCCCAAATGTCTATTGAGAACATACTACTATACGCATGTTCCCCACAGTGCATTACAGCCCAAAAGCAGGTATTTTTGTAGGTGGACAGATCTGGGACCAAATCTAAGTTCCAGGCCTTAGAAGCAGTAAATCCTTAGGCAAGACTGACTCACCTCATCTGCACACAAGGGACTGCCATATATCTGGTTCACAGAGATATTACAGGAAATAAGGTAACATCTTGGCATGCAAAAAACACTTAAGGGTAGCCCTCTTCTTGCTACCAACACAGTCCTCATCAACCTGCAAAATAAACTCTGCTGCCCTTCAAACTCTTCATCCCCACTGGCCTACGTGTAACGTTTCAGTCTGCAGGTTTGGAAAATAACTTGCCTTGGGATCTCCTTGACTCTCTAGCTACTGCCTCCTTTACGGAACCAAACTCCTCAACAAAAAGCAGTCTCTACACTTTAATAATTCTCCACCATCACTCTGACTGTCAATCTACCAAATCCTATTTCCTCTCCAACCTCTACACAAAGTGCCTTGGGAAGGGCCCCGTGACTAATTACCACCTCCAATGAGCACTCTCTGCTCCCGGGACCTGTGGCCTGGCCTGAGCACTCCTCCTGCCCCAGTGTCAGGCACATCATGTTCTGAGTGGCAGGGATCTGGGTGTGGAAGAAGACGGGCAGGCATGAGGGAAAAGAAAGCAAGAAAGGAGGAGAGCACTCAGGTCCTGTTGTGGGTAATTTCTCAGGAAAAGGAGCAAACAGCTCAACAGTGCTCGGCACACTGCACCACCCAAGAAACGTGGGCCCCTTCCCCATTCCCTCGCTGTCACGCACAATCGCAGCACTCAGAAGACTGTGCAAAGCCAACAGGATTATTTCCTCTGTCACCTCATGCACTTATGTTAGTCCGTGATTTCCTATCCTTTCCCCTTCTCATGAAAACTTCTCACCAAACACCAACATGGAGGTATTTCCCACCACAACTACATCACACGATGAGGGTCACCACATCGTGGAAAGTGCAGGAGCCACAGACCAGGCAGGCAGATTCCTCGGCATCCAAGGAAGAGAAACACTTCAGAACATAGATGTGGCTCCCACAGTACAAGCAAGGTCGACTGGATGGGAAGGAGATGGGTCCCAGTCTCGAAGGCTTGTGATCTGTGGGATTCTAGTGTCCCTGGGGAGAGGGCTCTTTGGGGTAGACTTTTAGAAGGAGACTAGACCAAGGGGAAACATGAGGGGGATATTCCTTCTCCTGAGGGGTCAGAAAAAGGAGGACAAAAGGAGCTCCTGGTATGATCATGGTTCCAACAGAACTTTCTGCTTTTCAGATTATCCAAGGGCCACAGTTACAATAATGAACTTTTTACAGAAATGAGCACACATCAAAGGCCCAAAAGATTTCTTCTTTTCAACTTAAAAATCAGAGGAAATGGAGCTAATTTTATGAAAAGTTTCGGTTTTTTTAAGTAAAATGGTAAAGAATTTTTCTTGTATAATCAGTAATTTCTCCATCAGTGGGGCTTCTCTGGTGCAAGGTGTCTCACGCGGAAAGTTGCAAGAGGAATAACATGAGGATCACACAGACTTGAACCCCTGGGGCTGTCATTGCAAACAGAGCCCTAAGGAGGTGCAGAGCAGGGTTTTTATTTTAATAACGAGACTCAAACGAATGTCAATTAAAAATGGCCCCTCTGCAAGAGGAGAGTTTGGATTTCAGAAGGACTGAACAGCGGGGCCTCTTTCCCTGCGTCACGTCATGCTCACCCTACGCACGGAAGGGTCGTGGCGTGTTGTGGCGGCATTACTTCTTAAATGCTCAGACACAGAAATGCCGTCAAACAACGGAAATAAAGGAAGATGTGCTTGTAAGAAAAAAGACATAACCTTCTAATCAAGCTAGTTTTGAAAAGAAAACAAGGCAAATAACTTGTCAAAGTCACTCGCCCCTTACAAGCAGGTGTTTTCATTTTGTTTCCTCAAACACCGACTGCCCTTGCATGCTCCAAGATCGGGGTGATTTCTGCATTGAACACACTCCAGAAATACTACCTAACTATAACCGCAGTGTTCCTCTCTCCTTTCGTTATGAGTTACAAAAGCTAGTTTTGAAAAGAAAACAAGGCAAATAACTTGTCAAAGTCACTCGCCCCTTACAAGCAGGCGTTTTCATTTTGTCTCCTCAAACACCGACTGCCCTTGCATGCTCCAAGATCGGGGTGATTTCTGCATCGAACACACTCCAGAAATACTACCTAACTATAACCGCAGTGTTCCTCTCTCCTTTCGTTACAAAAAAGTTACAAAAGTTTTAACAATAACAATGTGACATACTTTGCCAAGCCTAGAACTCTATCACTCGGGCCAGCTCTGACCTCTCCCTTCCTTTAGCTTCTTTCCGTGAGCTCACCTCCCCTGCAGAGAAGGTGACAGCAGCACCCCCAGCCAGGTGTGGGGCCCGCTGAGCTACCCACTGCACCCCTCAGTCTCATTCAGAGATCACTCCCCAATGGAGATTATAATTTCAGGAATTTTTCACCTTCACCTCAATGATCAAAGGGAAAAATTCACCATAACCTGAGTCCTCGCTCAGTCTCATTCAGAGATCACTCCCCAATGGAGATTATAATTTCAGGAATTTTTCACCTTCCCCTCAATGATCAAAGGGAAAAATTCACCATAACCTGAGTCCTCGTCCACCTCAGTCACCAGGAGCCCAGCACTCCCAGGACAACCCTCCACCCAGAATCCGATTCCCACACGGCCCTGTATTTTCCCCTGGTCCAACCCAATCCCCAGCCCCTCCCCTCTCCCTGATCCCCTCCATGATGTCCTCTGAGCTCAGGCCCATCAGCAGCAAAATACCCTTTATCCTGAACCTCTTTTTGGAGCCTTCTTTTCCATCTTGTAGTTTT